AATCACCTACGGCTAGAATCTGATTTTTACTGAGGTGCTATAATAATTACACTAAGTACTTTCTTTTTGTCACTGACAAACAGCAATCCTTGAATGTCACTTAAGGAAACTAGAAACTTTTATATTGTGGGTTAGTTTCCAAAACTTTGTGGTTTGACTTTGCAGAAAAAAAGTCCAAGCTTTTCCATAGATAAGGCCAAACAACACCACTCCCCAAAAATTACAAAAGAAAGAAACAAACACCCTAGGTCTTGCATATAGCCAGGACATCTCGGATTCTTGGATGTATTCACAAAGACTTTCAGGACAATGAGGAGAATATAAAAACAGAACAAGAACTTGCAGAAAATACTGAGATCCTTAAATAGAGATTTTGCTAAGAAACTTAAATATGACTGACTGAGAACTGAAGGTTGACAAGTTTAAATACTGTAATAGCAAAACAAACAAACAAAACCCTTTCAGTTCACTCGTGGATTAGCAGTTAATGCTCTGAAATCCACCAGCTATAGCTATCTGTGCTGTTATAATCCAAAAGAAGAACTCTACATTTGTGAGTTTTTTCAAAGGAAGATCTTAATCACCTCTTTGTAAACCACCAAGCCCCTTATTAAAAGTCTGGGCCCAATCCTCCCTTGAAAGAGTGGCCCCAGCAAACTATGGTCTTTGATCCTAAATTGAGAACAATTCCTACTGGAGGTAACAGTATGTGATTAACCAGGGCAGAATTTGGGCCACTGACATCAGTGACACTGGCTGTTCATGTGAGTAAGGAACAATTTCATAAGATTAAGGATCATTTAGTATGTTTGGTAGCTGTATTTTTATTAGCTTTTCTTCGTTATATGTTCAGTCCAGATAAGATGAAAAGTATCACCTCGCCATTATTATCAATGTTAATCAGTGAAACTGGAGTGACAATGCCTGCAGTGAATTTTTTTTATTATAACTTATGTATATAAGTATATATGTATTGTACTGTAAAGTCTATTAACAATGCAGTCGCTAGTCAGGCTCTTAGATACTGTGTTTTTTTCAATAAGTTACTGACAGTTTTTCTGTCATGCTCAGTGTGTCCCACTAAGTGCCTTCAACAGCAGAGCCAGAAAGCTTGCCGAATGGCACAGAGTACCATGTTCTCCAATGGCAAAGGAAGGAAGTCAGAGCATTCTCTGCAGTTTTTATTTGCAAACAAGAGTGGGCATAATGCAACATAGCAATGAGGCTCAATTTTACAACCAGAGCAGAGCAGGAGCCTCTCAAATGCTCTAGCTTATTACCTTGATGTTGTTGTTTGTTTGTTTTTTAATTTTAATTAGAGATGGGCCCAGACTTTACTATCTAAGTTTCTTAAAGATGTCAAAAGAAAATTTAATAGAAAAACTTTTTATGATTGATACAGTTCTTACTTATGAACATATTCATTTATAAGTGTAGCAGTAATATAACTGCACTGGCTTTAGAGTTTTGATATGACACTTAAATTTTGCAGAATTACAAAGAGTTATTTGTACTTCTGATTACATTAGTTTAGCTAATCTGACTTCATATAGAGGGACCTACATCTGACTTGCATAATATGCCGGATTAGATTCCTGAGTTGTGCTGTTTTGTCTAATTCAGTGCAACAGTAAGTGTCTAGCTATTCTGGCAAAACTGCCTCTAACTTTCTTTTTGTCCTTAGTATCCATTTCCTGTGTAAGCTAGGTCCATGTAAGCTAGGTGCTGCTGTTATCACAAGCATCCCATGTTACAGGAGACGTGGGACATATGTCACAGCAAAAACAGACTGACAGGGTACTGAGGCCATCCAAACCTCCTGTCTTATCTGGTTTTATTCTTTACATCTGACTTCCTCCTGCTCTGGTTAGCATCCTCCCCACCTCCCAGACCTTCCCATGTACAGGCATTATTACTCATGTCACCAGCCTGCAGGACCTTCCGAAAAGCAGATGGGCAATTGGCAAGACATAAACCGCACCCAGTCTCCAGTGCCTTTGTGAAGGCTTAGTATTTACCCAATTAAAATTAATAAAGAATGTGAAGGCCAGGAAACAAAAGATGTCTGGGAAACAAAACGAATGCAACATCAGGCACATCTTGTCTGGTCTAAGAGAGACCAAGGGTGGATGTTCTTTATTGAATTTACAAAAACAGTTGAAAGAATTCTCCGTTGCATAGCTATTGTCATTAAAAATCCATACAATAAATACTAAGAGACCTTAAATTCCTTCCACATGAGAAGGACTTGGCAATCTGGTGGGAATGCCAGTGGGTTTGCTAGAAGTGATAGTCGTTGCCCTCCCTTCCAGCACCAGGCAGTGCTGTGCTTCTCACATTGCTGTGTGTCCCCTAAGTGCAGCAGGATTTTCTCCATCCCGGCGGACTCAGTAAGTCCCTCAGCTGACCTGGATGTTCTCTCTGGAGGGACAAGCAGAAGTGCTGCCCTGCAGGCTTAAGCTTGATAATTTTCCAGATGTGAAGAGGATGTCTGAACTAGATTGGTTTGCTTCTCTCTAACTTCAGCTTCCCTGAACACCAGGCATTGTGACAGCTGCAATGCTGAGGTGCCAGAAACATATTTTGGGGGTTAAATATATATGTGGGTTATTTTGAAAGTAATGCCTCCTTCTTATTTCCATAGAAACTACAACAGATACAAAGTGTGCAGTATCATTATTTGATAGAGCAAATTCTCAGATGCAAAACTCTGTTTTTCAACATAGTCACCCCCATTAGCAATGAGCAGGAGTCTGTGTGCCGCGCTCATAAAAATATGCATCTGAACATGGCTTGTCTTTCAGGTTGTTGTTGCCACTGCTAAAATGCACCAACCGCCACCTCCCTGTGCTGATATCCACTGACAGGTTTCCACAAACATTCAGCAAGCATTAAAGAATGCCAATGGATGCCATTTTTACTGCATGAAGGAATTCAGTGATACACCTTTGCTTCATCCACACTTCCATGTCAGACACCATTCTGTCAGAGTGCCTCTCTGCTGCCATCTGACATACAGCAATAAAATGTAATGGGAAAGTTCAGCCTCTTCTGCTACACCACTAAACATGCACTTCTGATATTGTGGGCCAAAATAATTAAGTAGGAGGCATTACTTTTGGATCAGCCCCCATATATATGTATATATGTACGCAGTAAGTCATTTAACTTGCTCTCCATGAACTGTGTAAAAGTAATGCAGACGTTGCTTTCAGATTTTTGTGCTTGTTGCAAGTAGGAAATGTTGAAAGAACCTGGAGCTTAACAGCTTAGCTCTTTCCTCTGAGAGGAAATAGAATTAGATCTGCATGTGCTTGGCTTATACTTTATAATACATTTTATTATTAGAATTATAAATCGTGCCTTTGGGCGCCAAAATACAACATAACTAAAACATAACTAACCAAGGTAAATTGATGCCTGCCCTTGTATATTTTACCATCATGAAATGCCAGACACTGCCTCCGAACCCTCTGCTTTTAAGTGGGTCTATTGGCGCTGGCACTGTACTGCTATTAGGCTGGGACTTGAATCGGAGCCACACTCTTGGTTTCCATCCATTCATTACAACTAGAGAGTCTCACAGGTTTTTGGCCGACTTTTACTTTCTACAGGTGGTGGAAGGCCAGCTGCAAGTGTATTCATTCTCATTAGCTGCACAATAAGCCCTTGGCTTTTCAGTGCTAGTGATGAAGGAGGGAGAAGAGATTGTCTTTTGTGTGTGTGGTGACATGCATCCTTCCATGTTGCCATTTAGCAGAGGCATGATTCAGTGACCAGGAGTCAGATTTTTGCTTAGCATTTTCCATAGAAGCAGCAGTTACAGATAATGAGAGTGTTTCAGTCCCCCTTCCTTGCTGTTGTGCAGTTCTCCATCCGTAAAGCCGGGGGTAGTAGCACTACCCCCATCAACCTGTACCTGATGACTGTAATCGTGAATGTTTCTGAGGAAAGACACTTATTTGAATCAAATTGGTTGCCTTCCCTGTAGCTTCAGTTTGTCTTGTGAAAATACTGTCAGAATAATATATGCTTCCTTTATAACCAAGAAGTTTTACTCTTGATCGATAAGACTTACATTTCATTTGTCAGGTTAATGAATTATTAGTCTTCCAGGTTTTTTTTAGTACACATCAGTCTCCTACTCTTTTTTTTTTTTTTTTTTTTTTTTTTTTTAATCCAACAGACAGCTGTAACAAGGCTGGGGTGGAAAAGTAGCCTAAGCCCCGGTGCTAAGCAGGGAGCAGTATTTCTAAACCACATGGGGTGCTCCTTATGCAGCTGGACTGTTAGTTCTTAGGCTGATGTTACCAACTTCATCCACAGGAGGTGTTGGGAGAGGGCACGAATGCTTGGGCTTTTGCAGCCTGAGCTGCTGATTGACCTGGGTGTTCACTGCAGCCCTGCCAGCTGTGTCAGAGTGGGTGACATAGGCTTAGCTAGCTGAAATGTCTGAGTGTTATGAAGTCCTGCTCTCACCTAAGAGGCTTTAAAATCACGGCACGAGGCTTACCTCCCTGCGTGCTAGGATTGCTGCTCTAGACCAAACCACGCAGCTCAGTGGAGCTCCAAAGCAGGTGAGGCTCAGAGGAGCAAGGATTTGGTTTTCCGGCTTGTTCTACTGTTCCTCTTTTGTGTGTAGTAAAAAGCTGTACATGACTGGAGAAAAAAATCATCAGAAAATACAGCTGTGAACTTTTCTGCCTACCAGTGACAGCGTTAAGAATATGTAAATACATTTAGAGAGAATTGCATCGCTCTCTAAAGGTTCTGTCAAACAAGTAATGTTTGTATGTGTGTGAATTTACTTTGGGTGCATATGAGGGAAATCAGAACTTCACATTCAGTAAGTTGATTTTGCTCCATAAACATTAACTCTGCATGTTAAAGCTGTCCTAGGGTGATCCTGATGTGCATCTTTTCTATAAATATTTGCAGTTGATCATGCATTACAATGGGGCATTCCTCTCCTTTGACTTTGCCCTTTTTTTTTTTTTTAGCTTGTTCATCTGCTTTGCACAGAAGGGGGAAGAAGTCTTTATGGCAAAGACAAACTGCAGACTCAACTCTTTGTGTGGATGTGTGTGTGCGCGTTAAAATCTGCTGAAAAGCTATTTATGGATTTGGGGGAGAATGCATTCATTCCATTTTTATGGAGTTAATGAAATCTTAGCTTTTTCTTTCTTTAAATACAAAGTTCTGTGGGAAAAAAAAAAAAAAAAAGGACTAAGTAGGAATGATAAGTAAACAACAGAAGTAAAAAGGCTTCTTTTAGTTTTGGGGAGTTGTTCTATTATTGCATTTTAAATATCATAATAATCTTCTTTCATTTCCTCTGTGAACACTTCCCCAATTTTCATGTGCTGTTATGTTTTAAAGCTTTTTGACCAGCAAATGAAAGTCTTCTGATGTCATTCATGCTTTGAATACTTTGTTGGCTCAGAGTCTTGGTATCTGAACTGTCACCAGCTGTAGGAGTGCATTTCTGAGTGCCTTACACTTTTGGAATGGACTGTAAAACTGTGAACCACAGAAAAACTCCATCCATTCTATGTTGGACTGAGGATTAATGTTTTCAAATTTCTTCTAGTACATGATCTATAAAGCTTAGTATTATTTCCATGGTTGTTCACACATTGGCTAAACCAGCAATCTCAGCATCCTAAGCAGGGAAGCTGCAAATTTGGGCAGGCATTTTGGCTACTTGTTATCATTATTTCATAGGTAGAATCGTCCTATTTATTGACTAGTAAAACAGCAAATATTCTTCAGTGAAAAAGCTTAAAGAGATTTACCTTTGCTGTTGTCCTTTACATGATCCTAACGTTAAGACAGACCTCACAAGTTAAAACTAGCACATAAAGTACAGTAAGAATTTCCTGGGTTCCACCCTGCTGTTCTGTATCCTTGTCCATACCTCTAATCATTTAAATTGAGCTTAGCTCTATAAAGCTAAACCCCGTGTATATTTGAATTTGATAATATTGTATTTCTTTTACAAAAATCCAGTACATTTCAAGCAATTATTTTAGAAGCAAGCATAGGAAACTTTTGATTATGTATGAGCATATGTTGCTGTAGCTTCCTTTTTTAAAGAAATAATTGAACATTACTGGTCTCACATGACTGTCTTTTCATTCGTCTTTCATCACCGTGCCTTTCAATACCATTCATCTATGGACTAATGCAATGCCCACTGAAGTCAATAGAAGTCATTCCGTTGACATCAATGAACAATGAATCAGGCCCTTTAAAAAGAAGAAACTAGAGTTTACAAGGGTTAAACAGAGCCCTGGGTGAATACTGTGCAGCAGGAGCAGTGCCTTCCCCTGTGTCCATGGCACACCTAGCACTCTGCTTATGTGCAGAATAACACCAAAATGGTTCATCTCCACTGGGAGCTCTGATAAGGGAAGACAGTTTTGCCAGTCAACATCTGAATTGTTTTTTCTATGCAAAGCCTTAGTAGGTATGAATAACTGTAATACATGGTAAAAATCTGTTCAGATGTGTGTCATCAGTGCAGATGTTGAGAATCTTTTATTTTGTTTGCCTTCTGTCCGGTGTTTTCAAAGAATTCATACTTTGCTATCAGTCTTTCTTTGTTCTGATAAAGTTGTAATCACTCAGAAGCAGATTCAGAAGCTCCCCCTCCTTCCTTCACAGCCCCAGCGTTTGTGTTATACTCAAATGCGACATTGTACACCAGCGCAATCGAAATGGCTGCAATGATCAATTGAGGGCCCAATCAAAGCCTCACAGATAGGCAGCCATTCGTCGCTGTTTGATATAAAAGGTGTTTTATTTCTCATCACTTTTTTGTCACTGAAAGAATGCTTCCTACGTGCAGATTAATTAAAGTGTAAACATTAAATATTGATTGATGCATTATCAGCATGGAGCAGTTGCCTCCACTCAGATTGATTCCTGCAGTGATTTATTGTCATATTTGTGGAGTCATTTCACTTGATAACAAAGAGAAATCGCCTGCTGCCTCTGCCTCTCAGGCTTCTTTCTGCCTCCTGCATGCACCTCCTCATCCTCACTGATTCATTCTTTGCCAGCTTGGAACTGGTGTGGCCTCGCAGTCTTTTCATGAGAAAAGTTCAGGGCTTCTCTTTTTGGCACCTGTGTAACAAGTTGATAGTTCAGCGTAGAAGACACAGAGCGGTGCTCTCTAATGGAACATCCGTGGTTAACGCTTCCAGCTGTGTCCCTTGCAGCTGCTCTTTATGACCAGGCTCAGGCACAACTTTGCAAACACAGGTTCAAGTCTTCAGGGTTAACTCGCTGCCAACTTGAGAGAAAGGTGAACTTTCAACAGAAATACATTGTTCAGGTCGGATTTATGGCTAAATTATGCAATTAGTTGCTCTGAGTAGGAGCACAGTCGCACAATAGCATATCAATTTAAAGAATTTCAGGATTTTATTCTCGTTTTCAGGCAAGTGCATAAAAGATAGCTTCATTCAAATGTTGTGGAGTATTTAGAGGAAAGCAAAGCTCTGTGGGGCATTATTGCCCAAAATTTACCAAATGACTCCAGCTTTTGGAAGTGGGTTCAGACAAGCGAGTCGTCCAAAAAGCCTTTCCCCCCATCCCCAACAGCCTTCAGGCTCTTGCTGTGTGTTCACGTGGATCAGGAGCAGCCTTGCTCTGCACACAGCCACCTGCCCCACAAGGAGCTGTACTCCAGGAGCTGTCTCTGTGCTGCAAGGCCCTACATCCCCTCCTTGCTGGGCCTTGCTGAGAGGATGGCTGTGCTTTCAGCCTGCACTGCCTGAATGAGCCCTCACTGACCCGATATGCCACAAAAGGAAAAAAATAGTCATGAAATTGCTTTGTTCTGCAGTAACAAAACTTAACCTTTTACATACATGGCTTTAATTTAACATTCACAGGATGAGATTACTCAAAATCTGCTGAAATCAAACATGAGTAAGGCCATAAAAATAGGTAATGGGCAACTGGTGATCTTGATTCAGTCAGGCAAGGAAACATTAACCTTTAGTCACAGTGGCAACAAATGCTAAGCTTGTGAATTTACTGCAGCAGATAATTTCCCTCCCAGACCTGCAGGAAATCATAGCAATGACTCTCTACATGAGCAGCAGCCACCTCAACATGGCTCTCCAAGAGCTATGATTTCTCTCAAAGGCTATTGCAATAATTGTATGGCACTTTATTATGATAGGAGTTCACTCATCCTGCTCCATCTCTGACCCTCACACAAACACATGCCCAACACCACTTTCTATGTTTCTATGTATGTTTTGCAAATGCACCCAACCCTGGGAGAAGAAGCTGTCATTTCAGATCTTTTCTCTCCATACATTTTCTATCAGATGCTCTTCCTCTTCTTCTCTGTGCTGTCTTCTGTTCCAGAAGTTTTGGTTTATTGCTGTCTCTGGGGAGTCGCACTCCTCAAATTAAAAATTATACAAACCAATGGTGTGCTCACCCAGATTCCTTCAAATTAATGCTCTTGCAAGATCACTTCCCATTGCTCAGTGTGTGTTGTTGCCCTTCCTGCCCACTGAACAGCACTGTTGCTGCTGTGTGTTAGATTGTCAGCCTTATTTAAATTGTCAGCCTCTCCGGTCAAAGACCTTCCTTTCCTGTTTGTCTTTAAACTGCTCTGCAAACCAACGTGGCTGTGTAACCAGCCCTGCTACAAACGCAGTGTTGTAAGCCCATGTACTTGTAAGGCTGCTGAAAACAAAATCTATTGTCACTGTAATTATTGTGGAGCGCATTTACATTTTTATAAAGCCTTTCATTCAAAGACTCTAATGCATTTTGTGTTGAAATACAGAAATGTTCTTAAATATCTGTAGTTCTAGATGAAAATGTGTTTCACCTATCAAAATAAAATTTCTTTTAGCATTTTTTTATATGACAAAGACTTTCTAACAAATAGTTCAGTCTGAATTGCGTTAGCATTGTTTAGATTGGACCACACAGGAACAAATTGAAAGTGACTTCAGTTGCACAAAGTCTGTTTTCTGCAGGTCACATGTGGATCTGGGATGCATGCACAGAGCTTATCCTTCTGGGTGATGTTGGAGCATCTTTGAGGAAAAAAAATAGAGGGAAAACTTTTGTTGACTTTAATGGGCCCAGGCTTTTCTGTTAATAATCAGTGAAGGTACCTAGCTGAGCTCGGTGTGAGTGCAGTGAACTAGTAAAACTAGAGTTACACTTGTTGGCTTCTTACTTAGAAAAAGCAATGCAAGTCACTGTATAGCTACTCTGTATGCCTAACTTATTTATTTCTTAGCCCACACAGATTATTCCTGAGAGGTGATGATGGGTAACTAAGTGGAACAAACAGATATTAAGAATATGTGGGGAAATTATAGAAACAAGACCAGAAATCAGTTCTTTTTGATAGATTGTGAAACGACTTTTAAAACCTGTTTTAACATCGCGCTTTAATGCTGTTCTCCTGGGCCAGATTCTGAAAGGAATGAGATCTTTGTGAACTGAGCATTTCCTCAGTGCGTCTCATTGCACCTCACTGTTGTACAGCTGTTGTACAAATGCCACACAATAGTCAAGAGCAAGAATTTTAAATTATTTAATTTGTTTGGGGTTTCAAACAGGATGAAAACTTGCTTTTTTACTAATAGGCTTTCAGAGGATCACAGGATACTCTAGGTTGGAAAGATACATGTCTTGGAGTACTCCTGTTGAATCCTGATTAGGGTTTTCTTTCACCATGGACAATTAAATGTGACATGAAGGGACACAAAAAGATGTTTGTTAGGGATTTAAAAAGCTCCATACTGACCTATATGCTGGAATTTTAGAAATGTTCATATGCACATACATTTACAAGCTATGCTGAGGATTCTCAAATCCACAAGCACTTCCCTCTAGCAAAAAAAAATATATTAAAAAAAAAAATCAAATAAAAATAGTGGTTGTGATGATGAATGCAAGCTGTAGAAGGTTGCAACCCTCCCCATGTTAGTGAAGAGATTTTGTGATCTGCAGCAGGAGCTGGATATTAATTGAAACCGGTCTGACTGTTTGTCCTTATAAAGTTGCAGTTGTATGTTCTTTTTATCCAAGTATCCTCCCTATATAAACTGAGATTACAATATCCATGCAAATTACCTTTCTGCTTCATGTGTCACTGTGAGACCTGCTAAATGAATGCTGTTTCCCTTCCAAAAATGAGTTTACCATTTTTGCAGCAGCAATTACAGGTTGTGTGAGAATGGTGTGTTATTTCCTGAAATTGTATGTAATTTATTTCAGAAAGCTTGAAACGTAGTTTTGAACTTAAATGCATATCATCTTTGTAACTGCTCAGTTTGTGTTATTTTACAGTCCTTGAAATACCTTTGATAATAAGTGAAAATTAGGAGAAAAGCTACAATTTGTAGAGTGACCAGTGTCTGACTATATGTAATATAATTAACTCCATCCTTTGCATAATGTTTATCTTAATTATTACCCAATGTACTTTGGAACAGGCTTAATGGTTGGTGATTCTTTCACTGTGGGGAGGTTTGTTCATGAGATACATTTCGTATTCATTTGCTGGGTCACAAGGACTGAACATTTTAAAAACGTTATACTAATTAGAAAATTACTTAGTGTTAGTTATAAGCAGATACTACTGACATTGCTCAAAATAGATCTCTATGATCTTCTCATCTATTTTCTTTATCTTCAATACTTTGCCTTTCCAAAAATTGTTTTGTTTTTAAAGTTATTTAACTATTACATTGCAAACCACAACATAGATCAGTAAGTCGCTTTTATCCCTCCTTTCTTTGTCTATTCTGTAGCCTACTAACATGAAACAGGATTTCAAATTACCAGAGCTTCTATTAGGAGAAACCATCGTAGCCCCAAAATAAGCTTTTTCATTCTTAGACTGTGACTTGTGTTATGGCAGAAATTAACATTTTTGTGACCTGTAATTAACTGTGTTGTCTCATGCTACAAAGAAGATTTGGCAACTATAGCTGGAGTCAACTGTATCTTGAGGTCCAGTTATCTGCGGCTGTTTTTTTATTTATAGCTTTTTGTATTTGCTAATAACACTGCAGAGTTCAGGGATGCAGACAATAAAGAACACAAATAAAATCTGTGGCT